GCAGATATATAATACATATATAAGGGGTTAGATAGAAATCTATAGATATAGATTATAGATATAGCTAAATAGATAGCTAGCTAAATAAACATATAGATAGATAGATCAACAGACAGACAGAGATAGATAGATGGATATGGATATATAGATACAGATATTGAGAAACAGAGATCATTGTATCATATGTAGAAAAATGCATGAATGAGATTGCTAACTTCACACTGCAAGAAATGTACCCAATACTTTTTAATTAAATATTATGTCAGCAAAATCACACATCATATACAGTATATGTATCAGACAAAAACTGAAGATTCATTTGGCATCCATGACCCATCACCTGTTACCTCAAATTTTTGTTACCACAACTCTGGAAATTTGAAGCTGCCTTGATGCAGTGTTCATGCTCTCCTTTGGTATCATGTATGCAATTTCAATAAACTTTCTCCCCTGTTTATGTAATCCTTCTGGGAACACTTTCACCTACTTCCAGTCCAGCACTGTCAGTGTGCACTGCCAGGCCACTGAATGTTCTTTAGTGATAGACATGAGCCCTGTGTTTGCAGATCTTGGTGCTGAAACCACATCCTATTAAACAATAATACATTTTGTTGCACTTACTCAATGTTATTTAGTATAAAACACTGGCACATTTGTTTACAGGTGGCTTCTTCTCTGTATCAGAGGTTCTTTATAACAGGTATATTGACAAACTTTGTGGCATTACAGTAGTATAAAGAATTTTAATGGAGGGACAGGATCAGACCTAGCTCTTGTTATAATGATTTCTGCTGAATTCGGCCAATGTGGTACGAAGCTTTCACAAAGTCCAGAGTTCCTCTAAAATGTCAGAAAGTGAAGAAGAGTGAAAGATAAAATAAAAAGGGAGAGTAAGTAAGCCACTGTCTTCAGTCCTCACCCTAGCAGATCAGTGTCCATGCTAGGCAGTTCCTCACACAATCACTAATCATCATGGTAAGTGGAATTTTACCATGGGCAACTTTAGCAGCAGCAATGTTTGACACAAGTGTGATTCCAGAGAAACAAAAATGTAAACATCATGTATGTAGCATTTAACTTGCTGAATGTTTGCTACTTACATTCTCCTACATCCCGCAAAGAAATAGGCCAGAACTACACCCATGGCTAAATTGCTAACCTCATGATACCAATCCCTTGCAAGCTTAAAGGACCAACGTTCACACACAAAAGTTGTGTTTGGATTATGGTAGTGAACTATGGTACTGATGGCTGTCCAAGCTGTGTTTGGAGAATCCATACGTGGGAACACGAGGAAATATATGTCAAAAATTACAAACAGAGGAGGCGCCGATATATCTATTTAAAATTATCTTCGGGAGCCTTTTTAGTAGAGTGGGTCAGGTTAATTTGGGTGTCTGTACTTAGGCTGAGAATGCATGAGAGTGTTATGGAGGAGAGGAGGCTAGTGGAAGATGAGAGAGAGAGGAGAGAGGGCTGGAGATGAGGTTGGAGAGGAGAGAGAGGGCTGGAGATTGGTTGAGAGTTGAGTCTACGGAATGGAAAGAGGTTAGGCTGTATGGAGGCTGGGGATGGAATGGTAACTTGTCGCGAGAGTGAGACGAGAGAGGGCTGGGGTTGAGAGACGAGAGAGAGATCAAGGGCTGGGGTGAGATGAGAGACGAGATTCCGAAGAGGGGCCTGGCGATTGAGAGACTCACTTGAGAGATGATTCTGGGAGAGATGAAGAGGCTGGTAGAGAAGTGCAGATGCAGAGTAGAGAGGCTGGAGACGATGAGGAGAGTGAGGAGAGAGATGTGTTCTGGGCGAGAGGGATGTGTCTGGCGATGAGATCGAGAGGAGAGGGCTGGGAGGAGCAGATTCCCTTTCCTACTATATGCTCCATGTAAAACAAGATCGCAAGAGGTCTCATACGTAGTGGGAATCACTTGATGCGCCAATAGCAGCTAAGTTATACTAAGAGAAGCCTGATTCACTTCTGATATGAGGATTACTTGGATAAAGGAGTCCCATGCAGAAATTGCGAGATTTGTATGTCAAAGGACAAGAACCTGACCAGATTGCATGAGGTACACGCACTTGTGAGTGAGGTAGCGAGAGTAGAGAACTTTAGTTCATTGGAAACAGGGATGTTGAGAGGATATCAACACCAAAATAAGCAAACTACAAGCTGACATCAATCACCATGGAACTTCTAAAGCCATTGTGAGGCACACAGAGATCTACCATCTTGACATCTACCAGACTGGAAGCAAGCAAAATTGATCCATGAAGGATTATATAAAAAGAAAAGAAAAATAATGGAAGTTAGCAACAACAATCATGTCAGCAACATGTGACAGAATATGAATGGCAGAAAGGGAGAGAAATGACCAGGAAAAAAAATTAAAAGGGGGAGAAAAATTGAACGAGAAATTTGAAAAAAAAGTAGAACATGAAAAATTAAAAGAATGAGGAATAAAAAGAAAGTCATAAAGGGGGAGAAAATGGAGAGAAAATC